CAGTGTGCGAATGAACTACACTTATGAGACCAGAGTATTGTGCGAATGAACTTAGGATATGAGACCAGATCAGTGGGCGAATGAACTAAGGTTATGAGACCAGAGCAGTGTGCGAATGAACTACACTTATGAGACCAGAGTATTGTGCGAATGAACTTAGGATATGAGACCAGATCAGTGGGCGAATGAACTAAGGTTATGAGACCAGAGCAGTGTGCGAATGAACTACACTTATGAGACCAGAGTATTGTGCGAATGAACTTAGGATATGAGACCAGATCAGTGGGCGAATGAACTAAGGTTATGAGACCAGAGCAGTGTGCGAATGAACTAAGGTTATGAGAACAGAGCAGTGTGCGAATGAACTACACTTATGAGACCAGAGCAGTGTGCGAATGAACTTAGGATATGAGACCAGATCAGTTTGCGAATGAACTAAGGTTATGAGACCAGAGCAGTGTGCGAATGAACTTATGATATGAGACCAGAGCAGTGTGCGAATGAACTAAGGTTATGAGACCAGAGCAATGTGCGAATGAACTAGAGGTCATGGTCGAGACAGTTGTTGCTATTTTTTAGACCTCCCATTCTCACCATCTTGCATCCAACCTTACTTGATGTGACCTTCTTCTAACCTTGGTCACCTGATCTTTGTCTTTGAACTTTTTCCACAAACCTCTTGTCATTTTCACGTCACCGGTAGTATTCAACTTTGATTGGACCGAGAAATGAACCTACGAACTTTCAGTATTTGACAGACTCTATCCAGCCAAAGATAACAATGAACTGAGGAAACCGATGTGTTGGAGTGCTACATTAAAAAAGCAAAAAAACAAAAAAACAAATATCAACTGCAAGTAACAGACATAAATCGAACGTTAACTTTCTATTACATATCAACAAGAAACTTGTTGACCCATGAAGACTTGTTCAAATAAAAAGTTCCTTTACTTGCATAATACTGAGGGTGGCTTCCTGAACGCATGACGAACCTTCAAAGAAATATTCCCTCTTTATGCCAAACTCGTCATCCAAGTTAAGATCTAAGACTTGGGAAATGTCTTGAAAGTGGATCGAATCCCATGCTAAGTAAGTGTAAGTGAATGTATGCCACTACGGTGCACCCCACCACTATAAGCCACATTTTGAGGTATCGGGTCTTCCTATGTAACTTGTTGGTTTGAAACAAAATGATTTTTCAAATATGTGTTTTAAAAGCATAATTACGGCTTCTCAAACCGACTCCGAAACATGATGTCACGGGTTATTGTAGGGTATCTTATATAGGCTGAAATTTAGAATAGCACTAGCTAATTATTGAATCCGTACATCTTTGATTAGCGAACCGTTCTATGGATGAACACAGTTTAGTCTGTCGTTGACTAGCGAACCGTTCTATGCATGCACACAGTTTAGTCTGTCGTTGACTAGCGAACCGTTCTATGCATGCACACAGTTTAGTCTGTCGTTGACTAGCGAACCGTTCTATGCATGCACACAGTTTAGTCTGTCGTTGACTAGCGAACCGTTCTATGCATGCACACAGTTTAGTCTGTCGTTGACTAGCGAACCGTTCTATGCATGCACACAGTTTAGTCTGTTGTTGATTAGCAAACCGATCTAAGCATGAACACAACACATCTAACCTTCTTTTCCTCATCGATAATCACTGTTGTTTCCAATGCGAACGATGGTCAGAGTTCTTTTGTGTATGCTCTTTGAGAGTTCCTTTGTATACGATGATCAACAACGTTACAAAATATGATGTCATTACTACCAGGGAGGTGATGTTAAGGCTATAGAAGTATGTAAGGTTTCAACTTGTTGTTGACACTTGAGCTGACTTGAAACTTGAGACAGAGAGCTTGATTGATTTCCAGATAAATCTATTGGATCAAACGGTGAAACCTGACCTGACCGACTGCTGAAAGATGGTGGCCGTGTTGGGGATAAACACTTTCTGCAAGACGTGACAAATACTTTTTTTTTGGTTTGTTTTTTTGTTATATATATATATATTTTTTTTAAAACAGCTTAGTTGAACTGTTACCAGTGGTAGATTTCAGTACAAGAGTTCAAGTGGAGCATTTGAGGATGGGGTACCATTGGCAGATTTTGTAAGAGATACTAGGGGCAGGTTTTGTAAGAGATAAAATTGACAGATTTAGGGAAGGGATAATAGTGGCAGATTTAGGGAAGGAATACTATTGGCAAATTTAGGGAAAGGATACTATTGGCAGATTTAGGGAAGGGATACCTGTGGCAGATTTAGGGAAGGTATACTATTGGCAAATTTAGGGAAAGGATACTATTGGCAGATTTAGGGAAGGTATACTGTTGGCAGATTTAGGGAAGGTATACTATTGACAGATTTAGGGAAGGTATACTGGTGGCAGATTTAGGGAAGGTATACTGTTGGTAGATTTAGGGAAGGTATACTATTGGCAGATTTAGGGAAGGTATACTATTGGCAAATTTAGGGAAAGGATACTATTGGCAGATTTAGGGAAGGGATACTATTGACAGATTTAGGGAAGGTATACTATTGACAAATTTAGGGAAAGGATACTATTGGCAGATTTAGGGAAGGGATACCTGTGGCAGATTTAGGGAAGGTATACTATTGGCAAATTTAGGGAAAGGATACTATTGGCAGATTTAGGGAAGGGATACCTGTGGCAGATTTAGGGAAGGTATACTGTTGGCAGATTTAGAGAAAGGATACTATTGGCAGATTTAGGGAAGGGATACCTGTGGCAGATTTAGGGAAGGTATACTGTTGGCAGATTTAGGGAAGGTATACTGTTGGCAGATTTAGGGAAGGTATACTATTGGCAGATTTAGGGAAGGTATACTGTTGGCAGATTAAGGAAGGTATACTGTTGGTAGATTTAGGGAAGGTATACTATTGGCAGATTTAGGGAAGGTATACTATTGGCAGATTTAGGGAAGGGATACCTGTGGCAGATTTTGGGAAGCTATACTGTTGGCAGATTTAGGGAAGGTTACTGTTGGCAGATTTAGGGAAGGTATACTGTTGGCAGATTTAGGGAAGGTATACTATTGGCAGATTTAGGGAAGGTTTACTGTTGGCAGATTTAGGGAAGGTATACTATTGGCAGATTTAGGGAAAGGATACTAGTGGCAGATTTAGGGAAGGTATACTAAAGGCAAAATCAAGGTTTAAGGAGAATATTCAAGGGAATTTCGGATAAGACGAGGCCTAAGACGCGGAGACTCATTGTCTTGGAGGCTATTTAACCTAAAATTAGAAAGATTTATAAAAAGCATACACATTGACTCCCGAGGAACAATAACAGGATACTTTCTGAGGGAAACCCAAGACCCACAACCAATGGGCACTCTTTACAATCAACCCCTTCAATTTCTTGCATATGCTGATGACATAGCACTGCTAGGGAAACGTATTAAAGACATATCAAAATCATTTACTGAATAAGAAGACGCATCACTACAAGCAGGGCTGGAAATTAACAACCAAACAAAAACCAAACAAAAAATACATGACTGTGTTAAGAGAAGAACAGGCAGATGAAGCCATTAAATAAGAAGTCAGACTTTTGAAAAGGAAAATCAATTCAAATACCTAGGATCTTTATTAAATGAAAGAAACGAATTACTAACATAAATAAAAGAAAGAATATCTGCCGGAAACGGGGCATACTTCAGTAGTCAGAAAATACTCAAAGGTAAAAACATTACAAGAGAAACTAAGAAAACTATTTATAAAACTGTAATCAGGCCAGTTGTAACATATGCAAGTAAAACTTGGACCCTAACAAAAATGGCAGAAAACCTATTAAACTAATGAGAGAGAAAGGTCGTCACGAAAATATATGGACCAGCGTAGGATGAATATGGTTGGAGAATACGAACTACCATGAATTGTACATTTTATATCAAGATCCCACGAAAGTAGCAGAAATAAATGTTAAAATAGCAGACTACGCTGGGCAGGACACTTAAAGAGAATGCCAATTGACAGAGTAGCGAAAAGGGTGCATCAGAGGAAAATGGCTCAAAGGCAGACCTATGCTTGGATGGCTGGGTGATGTGGAAAAAGATCTACAACTGAGAATCGAAGCATGGAAAAGAAAACCATTAGTTAGGTCTGAGTGAAAGGTAGTAATGAGGCAGGCCAGAGCCCTACACGGTCTGTAGTGCCATATGGATGGATGTATACTAATGTCAGATTTAAGGAAGGGGTACTAATGGCAGATTTAGGGATAGGATACTAGTGGCAGAATTAGGGAATAGATATTAGTGGCATATTTAAGGAAGGGCTACTGGTGGCACACTTAAAGATGTGGTACTATTGGCAGATTTAAGGAATGAATGCTAGTGGCAGATTGATGGAAATGATATTAATGTTATATTTAGGAAATGAATGTTAGTGGCAGATTGATGGAAATGATATTAATGTTATATTTATGAAATGAATGTTAGTGGAAGATTGATGGAAGTGATACTAATGGCAGATTTGGGGAAGAATACTAGTGGCAGATTTAGGTAGTGGATACATACTAATAGCAGATTTAGAGTTGGGGTACAAAGTGCAGACTGGCCCTTGCATTACAAAATACCAATTGATTCAGTTGAATCATCTCCTTTAGATGAATGACGTCAGATCAATGTTCCCTTTAAGCTGCGCGGCTGCGCGGCCGCGCAGCAATCTCACAGACACCGCGCAGCAGTTTTGAGTACC